GTGGAGTCCATTCTGACCCACAGCGCCCCTAGAGGACAGAGTGGGACTGCCCCAGAGAGTTTCCGAGGCTGTCAATCCTCCCAGGAGCAGGTCCCCTCATCTTTCTCCCACAGGTCCACACGGCTGACCTTTCCGTTGGCTGCGGAGTGCAGTAAGAGCTCATAAATGATTAATCGTTTCCCTCCCCTGGGCTCGGTGGAATGTATTCAGATTAGGGCACGTAATGGATTGTAGAGCCTCTTCAGTCCTTACACGATGATGGTGTTTATTTAAAGTTTTATGACTTCCAGGACTGGCTGGAGTTGAAAGGCGGGCAAATTCTTCTTTTTTTTTCTGGAAGACCCATGAAGGATTTGATAAATCACCAAACGGCCGTCGAGGGAGAGTGGCAGGGTTTGAACCGCTGTCGAAATCATCTCAGAACCGAAGGGCTGGTTCTTTCTAGGGTCCATTTAGGATTTGGAGCGTGGGGGTCGGATTCTGACTCTGAGTTTTTTCTGTTTGTTTATTGTTACTGTTTTTATAATTTCTGGAAATAGATTTCCCAATATCTTAAAGGCTTTTTCTATCCTAACTAGAACTACATCTAATATATGCCGTTTAGCAGATCACAGAAGTTATAAATAAGACGCTGTGGTATTTATTCTATTTTTACCCTTTCCTCTATTTCTTGTTGTGAAGAGCCCATATTCCTAAAACCTACGTTTATTCTTCCACGCTGACTATAGCCTATTGACTGTTTTCCTCTGTACCTCTGTTTTATTAAAGGAGTCCTGGTGGTGCAACACTTGAGCACTCAGTTGCTAACCAAAAGGTTGGCGGTTCGAACTGGCCCTGCGGCTCTGCGGGAGCTAAGACCTTGCAATGTGCTCCCATGGGGGTCACAGCCTAGAGACCGAGTGGGCCAGTTTTGCTGTCTCCTGAGGTGGCCTTGGACAACACTGTTATGTCTACCTCGGATTTCTCTCCACCCTCCACCTCTGCAGCCCAACTGCCTGGGAAGGGACACCCCTGCATTGCGGACAACTCCACTCCAGAACCACCGACTCCACAGAGAGTTCCGGGCCCCCTCTGCTCACCCCTCCCGCCCTGTGCCCCATACAGACGCTGCCAGGCTTGTTCACAGACCTGAGTTGGTATAGTTGCTGCTCACTCCCTGCCCGGGCCCTGGCATGGGAAGATGTGCAGTATACATGCCCTAAAACCCCAGGGCCTCTCTGCCCAGCCCTGTCCCCAATGGTCTCTGCTTCCTGTGTGGCTAGAAGTGGGCCTCTGGTGGGGTGGTGGGCTTAGTGAGGTGGCGTCCTCTCGCGCTGTGTGCCCGCCTTCCTGCCAGGCAGCCAGAGGCAAAACAGACCGTTCTGTTCCAGAAACACAAATAAATAACTCGTCAGGAATGATCTCCTTCTCCCTGTCACCAGCTCCGCCTCCTGGCTAATTGACTGGTGGAGGGCACGGAGGTGCCAAAGACAGAGCGCAGGGCTGGGCACCAGGCCGCCCTGGCTGCTACCTGGCCCCGGCCATCAGATAAGGCCCCCGCCGGGGTCCTGGATAGCTAGGCCCAGTGGACGGGGTGCTGATGGTGGCTCACCTGTGGAGGACACGGGAACACCCGCCGTTCCCAGCACCCGGGGGTTCTGGCTTCTGGATTCCAGCCTGGTGGTCAAAGGCTCTAGGTCCCCCAGGCCCTGCCTCTAGCTCCTCCCACCCGTGGGCCTTCAGGCAGGTGAGGCAAGCCGGGCCTTGACCTCCTGGCTTCCGGTGGCCACGAGGACCATGGAGATACCAGAGGTGTCCTGCCCGGCATTACTGTAGGCGAGACAGTCACAGAGCAATTACCCAGAACCTGGTGGAGTCTACCTGGCCCCTTCACACACCTGGAGTCACGGAGGAACCTCACCCGTCCTACCCCGTTCGATGATGCCTCACACCCGGTCCCCACGCCCTCTGCCCTCGACTCACGAGAGCTGTCCCTTTGCAGCTGCAGCAGGCGCTGGCCTCAGTGTCTCCCCAGGGTCTCTGAGCTCTGGCCGGGAGGGTCATGGCGTGGCCGGGGTGTGGGGGGAGGCGGCATGTGAGGAGGGGTGGGAGATGAGGAGGGGTGGGGGGGCGAGGCTTTGGCAGCCCCTGATCCCAGCTCCTAGACTGGTGGTCATCAAGGGGACCCAGCTCTTCCCCTCAGTGGGCAGAATCTTGCCCCACCCAACCCCCACCACGACTTCCACGGCCCCTGTGGGCCTCCTCCCATGCCCCCCACCCATGCAGCTCGGACCCAACTGGGCCCATTGGGCCTAAGGCACTCGGGGGCCCTGCTGCCCTCAGAGAAAATCCCAGCCCCCCCACCCCAGCTGCACCCCCAGCTGCCGAAGGCCCTGCCGGTCCCCCAACCCCAGAGGCCCTGCTGCCTGGGCCCTGCCCTCTCCTTGGGGACACCATACTCCGGCCACAGTGAGCTTGGCCCAGAACTGCTGTTTCTTCTGGCCCCTGCGGCTTCCGGCTTTTTAAAAAACGTTTGCAATGCGCAAAGGTCAGGCACGTGAGCCCCAGTAGCACGTGTAGCAGCAAAGGCCTGGGCGGGGCCTGGAGGGAGCAAGGGCCGGACTGAGTTCACTCTGTGCTCCTCCGTGCAAAGGGAGGTGGGGGCCGGTCTCCAGGAGAATAACAAGGGAAGGATTCTCTGGACCGGCCGTTCCTAACTGGGGGTAACCTCCCCACACCCCCCAGGGGACCGTGTTGTCGGGGGACATTTCTGTTTGTTGCAGCTGGGGGCGTGTGCTCATGTCTGGTGGGTGGAGCCAGCAACGCTGCCTAACATGGCACAGTGTACGGGGCAGACCCCACAACAAGGAATTCTCAGTGGTGCCGGTGGGCATCCCTGCCCTGGGCGCCTCCCTGCTCTGATTCACCTCCCTGGGGGGCCCTAGGCTTGTCAGAGCGACTTCCAGACCACCTAGGCTGGCTCTTGGCTCTGGCCCCTGCTGGCTGCACTGATAGGTTTCACTACCCCGGCTGTCTCATCCGCCTCCTGTGCACAGTGGGGCTGCTCTACAATGGCTTCAGGTGGGTCCAGTGATGTGATGAGGACAAGGTGTTGGGCACAGAGCCTGGCCCACACCAAGTGCCCCAGAAACACTTTCTAAAGGATTAAAAATATAAACTTCTGGGCTGCAACAATGCCATTTCTCCGGGGGGTGGGAAGCCTTCGTTCTGCAGCCAAACCCGGGCCCAGGGTACAGAGCTGCTGGCGTATCCATGTGAAATCCTGTATCAATGTGCAGATTACACAAACCCGTGGGCTTCAAGGTGAGGGTGCCAGGCACCAGCTGCCAGAGCCTTGTAGAAGTCTGGGTGTTCTGCCCAGACACTACCTGGCTTCCAGTTGGCCCTTGGAACACTTCCAGGTCCTAACTCCAGCCCTGGCACCACCCGCCTCCTGCAGGAAATCAGTCCCTGGCCTTATAAAAGGCTCAGGTCCAATTCCAGCCCCGAGGTGACCGGCAGGGTTTGCCGCACAGCTTCACACATGGAATTATTCTAAGGCCTGAGCAGATGGCAAGACAGTCAGGGGATGCTCTGTTGCATCAGAAGGAGGAAGCAAGGAGCTGGCCTGGGTGGAAGGAGGGGGGATCTGGACCAGAGGCAGGGCTCTGCGTCCCCTGTCTGACCCAAGGGAGGGGCAGCGTCCCCTGCCCGCCCACATGAGCACAGCATGGCAGTCAAGAATTCAAGACAGAGAGAGAGAGAGATCAGGGTTCAGATCTCACCCCACCACCTCCTGACCGTTTCGCTCAGCCCTCAATAGTCAATCAACAAACCTTTCTGGTGGATTTTTCTTAAGATTAAAAAAAAAAAAAAAATTCCAACTCAACCCAAGAGTCAGCCTCAAACTTACTGTGAAAAAGTCTCAAATATCTCCCTTGAGGTCAGGAAGAAGATAAGAATGCCCAATAGTCTTAACAAATGCTTTAAAGATATTAGTCAATATGACAGGAGCTCTGGTGGCGCAGTGCCTAAGGCATTTGACTGCTAACCAGAAGGCTGGCAGTTCAAACCCACCAGCCACTCCTCGGAAGGAAGGTTGGGCAATCTACTTCTGTAGTGATACTGCCTCGGAAACCCAAGGAGGGGTCGCTATAAGTCAAGTCAAGTCAATGGCAGTGACTTTAGTTTGGGCTTTGCTTCCAGGGGGTTTGGTTTGGGCTTTGCTTCCAGGAGCTCTGGTAGCTAGTGCCTAAGGCACTTGACTGCTAACCAGAAGGCTGGCGGTTCAAACCCACCAGCCACTCCTCGGAAGGAAGGTTGGGCAATCTACTTCTGTAGTGATACCGCCTCGGAAACCCAAGGAGGGGTCGCTCTGAGTCGGATCCAACTCCATGGCAGTCAGTTGAGTCAATATGATTGGATATGAAAAGCAAAACGTGGAAAGGAAGAGGTCAACGTATTGCTGTTTGTGGATGACGTCAGTGGAAGCCTAAGAAAGTCCTCTAGAGATAGGACACTGGGCTAAATCATTGGCTTTTACCATCTAACCGAGAGTCAGAAGATATCGTGGAAGGAAAGACCCTCTCCATAACAGTTACACAAAAAGACACAGAGAAATACACTGTCTGCTGTCATTCAACTTCTGCTGCAGCCCCGAGACACGCACTGTGTCCTCATTGCTCAGACAAGAAGCCGGGCAGCGGGAGGCCCGTCCTTCCTTGCAGTGGTGGGATGTTTTGCGTGTCACCAGACCTTGGGGGGCCCTCGGGCAGGGGGCTGTGGTACTCACTTGTGTGTGTACCCCTCGGAGCCGGCCGTGAGGTTCGCCTGCATCACCACCTGGAACTCCGTCTCGTTGCAGCAGTATTTGAAGACCGTGTTGTTATGGTGACAGCAAAGGATGAAGGTTTTGTTGTCTGACAGCCGGGGGCAGTGGAAGCCAAAATGGTAACGGCCTTTGTGATCCGTGTAGGGCTCGCAGACCCGGAAATGCGCGGACACGACTGGAAGACAGAGTCAGCAGGCTTGGCGAGGCCCGTTGCCCCCAAACCCTCACCAGCGACAAGCATCGAGGGGCGAGGCCTGGAGGGCTGGCCTGCCCCAGGGCCCCCTCACCTCTTCCCTCCCTGGGAAAGCGGCCTCTCCAGGACCCAGGCTGAGGAGCACCTCTGGAAATGCCTCCTCTCGATGAAAGCCCCATTACATGGGGGCTTCCTGCAGGCAGGGCGGTATCTCAGCCTCCTGAGGACGCCCCTCCCAGCAGCTCGGCATACCGCAGGCACTCAGTTAAGAGACTAACATTAATTGAGCACCTAATATGAGCTCCATCTCCTATAATCTGAACGGGTCCCCCAGAAGGCAGGGCTGGGGTCCCATTTTGCAGATGGACAAACTGAGGCCCAGAGTCCTAAGTGACTTGCCTAAGGCCACACAGCCGGTGAATGATGAAGGAGTCAGATCCAAGCCTAGGCCCATCTGGACCCAAAGCCCAGGACCCGCTGCACTTCATGGTCACTGCTGTTGCCGTTAGGTGTCAAGACAGAGCACTACCCCACGGGCTGCTCCAGGCTGTAATCTTTGCAGGCGCAAATCACTATGCCTTCCTCCCGCAGAGCCGCTGGGCGGGTTCGAACCACCTTTGGATAGCACTGTTGTACCACCCAGGCCTCTCTTTAAAAACCTTTGTGATTGTGTGGTCTGGAGTCCAGGGGAGAGGGGCAGACAATTAGCAAGCTCTACTGCTAAACGAAGGGGCTGTGGTAGCATAGTGGGTAAAGCACTTGACTGCTAACCAGAAGGCTGGCGGTTCAAACCCACCAGCCACTCCTCGGAAGGAAGGTTGGGCAATCCTACTTCCGTAGTGATACTGCCTCGGAAACCCAAGGAGGGGTCGCTATGAGTCAGGGCCGACTCGACGGCACATAACAACAGCAACAACAACAACTGCTAAACGAAAGGGTGGAAGTCTGAACCCACCCAGAGGCGCCCTGGAGGAAAGCCCTGGTGGTCTCCTTCTGAGAGATCAGCCATTGAAAACCCCGTGAAGCACAGGGGTTGCCGAGAGTCAGAACCCCCTCTATGGCAGGTGGTCACTGGAGGGTGGACCCACTAACAACCTCCAACTGTCCTGGAGGTGAGCAGTGTGGGTTCATGAACCCGATCCCCCTGTGGACAGAGCAGCATGCCCTCTGCAGCTCACCCCTGTTAACCCAGTGCTCGGGACCTGGGGGTCCACAAGAGCCTGCCTCTGTCACCTGCACCTTGAGCGGGGACCCTGACTGAGCCGCCCTGTCCTCAGACCCCCTCCCTGTGGAGTCAGGGCTGCAGCGGTGTTCACTCGCGAGCCGATGGCTGTAAACAGGAGACTGGACAAACACAGGCAGCCCCGGGTTCCGGTCCTAAGTCTGTGAGCAGAATTTGTACGTAAGCGAGCACAGTTAGCTGTGCTTCGTCCCCACTGCCAGTTGTTGTTGCTGAGTCGGTCAGCTCCGGCTCACAGCAACCCCATGTAAACAGCACAAAACACAGTCCTGCTGACCCTCCACTTCACCAAGCATGACATCCTTCTCCAGGGACTGGTCCCTTCTGACAACGTGTCCAAAGGACGTGAGACGAAGTCTGGCCATTCTCACTTCTAAGAAGGAGGCTGTACTTCTCCCAACATCAGGCGACTGTCTGTGTCTGTATACCACAGACAGCGAAGGTCTTAGTATACAGTGTCCAGGGTGCTTTCTGTCACAAAAAACGCGGAAGAAACGCTTCTCACTGCACTATAGCATCTTTAACACAATTCAGTCGTGATAACAATGTTTTGATGTGAGTCACAAAGTAGCACCTGTCTGTGTTACAAACCACCGTATGTACCTTGAGTTTTTAATGGAACATTTTGTGGGGCTTCGGAACTATGGGTTGTACGTAAACTGGGCATTCGTCACCCGGGGACTGCCCGTTCAGTGATGGAAAAATCCTGGAACCGCTGCCTCTGGCTTAATTAGTATCTTCATAAAAGGGATTACTGTATCTAATTTGTGTCGCTGGAAAGGGGCTTCGCCGGCTGAATACATTTCTCCAACCACAAAGGCACTGGGTTTGCAAAAACGCCTCAGGCTTGTTGAAAGCGGCTCTACCAAGAGGTCACTCGTTGGCATCCCACGCACTCCTGGCCCGCCCACCCCGGCTGCCAGAGCGGGGGCCCAGTCAATGGCTCGTACATGCAGAGGCCAGGGCTGGCTTGGGGGGGCAGCCCTCATGACATTCTGCGCCCCTTCCCCAAATGCAGCACCCTCTTCCCCAAATGCAGCACCCTCTTCCACGGAGAGGGGCAAGGCCACTGTGGGAGGAAGGTCGCAGCTTTCCTGAGGCAGGGAGCTCTCCAGGGCCCCCTCCTGGGAAACAGGGGACCCCTTTCATGAGGATGCAGCCATTATAATGCCCATCCCAGGAGGGAGCACTAACCAAAACCCAAACCCACTGCCGTCGAGTCGATACAGACTCACAGCAACCCACACTGGGTTTCTGGGGCGGTAAATCTTTCTGGAAGTCAATTGCTCAGTCTTGCTTCAGCGGAGTGACGGGTGGGTTTGAACCGCCATCCTTCTGGTTAGCAGTCAGATACCTCAGGCACTATGCTCCTTGGCAGAAGCACTGTCTCATTTAAATTCATTTATGCCCATGGTTGTCAGTGGCTGTCGAGTTGGTTCGGAAAGGGAGGCCTGCTCGCTCACTCCCTTACTGTCCCTTGTGCCCCCGTGCTCTGGCAGGAGCCACGACACCTGTCTGGTGGTCTCAGGTCTCTGCCCCTTCACTGGGGCCTGGCTTCAGGGCTGCGAGGGAGCTGGGTGGGGCGCCAATGGCAGCACAGCCAAAGCCAAGGCCAGGGCTCTGAGTTCTCATTTGACCACGTTCTCTCTCCCCAGGGGCTTCTCTCTGAGGGCGTGAGGGGCACCGAGGGAGCCCCACCCCTGCTCAGAGCAGGGCTGAAGGGCTGAGAGTCCTGAGCAGAGCCGGCTGGGCTGTGCTGGGCTGTCCTTGCCAGGGACAGCCCGTAGGAGGTCGGGAGGTGGGGCTCCAGTCTCACAGCGGCCTGGGTTCGAATCCCAGTCCCGCCACTTGCTGTGTTGTCTCAGGCAAGTCGCCACCCCTCTCCTGGGCTCAGTCTGCCAGTCTAGGGACAGGGGGTGACTGACGGCCTGGCTGGGACCAGGAGAGAGAACAGGTGAGAGGGCTCGCCCTGGTGGTAGCACAACGCACAGTAGGTCTTCCTCACTGAGTATGGGGTCGGGCCACCAGGGCACCCCCGTTTCAACACCCAGAGCCCCCGATGGCCTGGCGCTGGCCCCGTCCCCCACCCCTCCGCACAGTGAGCGGAGACTGACCTGTGGAGAAGAGCAACGAGAAGAGCACAGTGAACGCGTTCAGGGACTGCTGGCCACAACTGGTCATCCTCTGGCCGGCATGGGTCCACCGAGCTGCTGCTGGCGAGAGCGGGGCGGGGTGTTGGCTCGCCCGCGGGCAGCCCCCGGAGCGTTCCTTCAGCCAGAACAGCAGGTGGGCAGGGGCCTGGAGGAAGGAAACAGCACCATGCACTTTCCTTCTGGAATGAGTGACCTTCCCCACCCAAGTGCTTCCTTTTTTTTTTTTTGGTCTCCTTTTCTTTTTGTGGCAAAATGAGACTTAACTGGGCCTTGGCCTTGGGCTCGGAAGGTGGGGCTCAGCGGCAGCCTGATGCTGGCGGGCAGGGCCAGCAGTGGGACACCCGGTGAGCAGGTGGAGACCTCGACAAGGGGCCCTGTCCTGGCTCCTCTGTCCTTGGGGTCCCTGCTCACTGCTAATGGGGACTGCCATTACCCACAGCCACCCAGGATGTGTGGAGCCGTACCCTCTTCCAGGCATTCAGAACACAGCAGTGAACTAAAGGAACCCGCCCTTGTGAAAGTTGCGTCAAGACACGAACACACGCAGAGCTACGGATGCTTGAAAAGATGGGGGCACAGAGGGCGGCACGTGGCAGCGGCTTTGGACAGGGGTTAGGAGGGCCTCCCTGTGGAGGCAGGAGGAGCCATCTGTCACAGAACAAGGGCACAGCACATGCAAAGGCCCTGAGGCAGGGCAGTGAGGAGCCTGGTGCACTGCGCACGGGAAGGGCTCTGTGGCAACCTGGGGACCGCAGGGCGGCAGAAAGGAGAGCCACGTGGGGAAGATGGAGGTGGAGGCGCTGGATTGGGAAGCAGGCTGCGATTTCCCGCCAGGCAGGCTACACTGAACTCGGCTTGCTCTGGCCTGTGTCCTGACCGCAGCCTGAGCTCCCAGGGCACCCACGGCTCCTCGGGGAGCTCAGTGAGCCGGAACAGGGCGCCAGGATGTAAACGCCATGGAAAGTCAGCCTTATTAGCATCATTGTATGGACGCAGTGGCTGCGACCAGCTCAAACAGAGCCTGCCACGAGCAGGGCCCAGGGAACACGGGGTGGCTGAGTCAGAGCAGACTCAGTGGCACCGAACCATAGCGACAGCCTTGAATTCCTGTGGGGACGTGGGCAGTGCCAGTGTGGCCCAGGAAGAGCCCCCAGATCTCCCCCGAAGGGCCTGGGCCCCACCCGCCTGGCTCAGCAGGGAGCTGCTTAATTGCACTGAGCCCTGGGCTCCCTCAGGGCCCTGCTGGGAGGAGGAGCTGAGATTAAAGGATTTGGAAATGCTTAGGAAACAGAAGGATCGACCTGTAGGTGGGGGTGGCGGGTCCTTGGGGGTGACTCATTGCCGAGAGGAAGGGGAGGCCACGGAGGCCACGGAGGCCAAGACAGATCTCCGGAATCCCACCCCTCTGACCCACAGCTGGGGCTCAGCTCCCAGAGCCCGTGGGTTTATCGAATGAATGAGGGTTCTATCTCCAGCCATGCTAGCCCTCTGTCCCGCCCCCCACAATCGAGGGATATAAGGAGAGGGTGGGCAGCTGGCAGGCCCACTGTGGGGCATGGGCTCTGACCTTCCTGTGCCTCAGTTTGTCCCTCTGTGAAGTGGGGATGTGAACGTGCGGAGAACACTTGTGGTCTGGTCGACAGAGGAGAGCCGGGAAGACAATGGTATCACCACCAGCGAAGGCAGACCCCGCCCTCGGCATAATCTCTCTAGGCCTCAGTTTCCCCATCTGTGCAGGGGATGATGCTCCTAGCCACCCGTGTTGTTCTGAGGGTGAGAGAATGCACATCCAGGCCCCAATGCCCAAGACTGTCGTTAACACACATTTGAGGATCCGATGCCTAAGCCCACCCCCCAATCCGACTTCCGGGTCAGAGACCCACGGCTCCGAGCCCGGCATCTGAGGATGCAAAGTGCCTCCACACACAGTGCAGCTGCCGGGGTCCCTGACGCTCAGACAAGGTGCCCTGAGGTAGATGGACAGGTCATCGTCCTTTGACAGCTAAGGACTCTGCTGGAGTTCACACCAGCTCTCCCCTCAAACGGGGCACCAGAGCCAAACACATCTCCTGGGGGCTCCCTGAGCCTGCTCTGCACGCTTCCTCCACATGGTCCCTGACGTAGGCATCCTCCCCTCCTCCCTGCGGGTCCAAATCCCCACTATGATAGATGCTGCTCCCACGCCACCTCCTCCAGGAAGCCTGCCTTGCTTCCTTCAGCAGGAGGAAGACCCCTGTGGGGTCTGTCTCTCCTTTGACCCACGTGTTCATTTACTGATCCAGTCACTTGTCTCTGCACCCACTCTGGGTGGGGCCTGGGCTGGGTCCTAGGGACACAGAGGGGCTCACCCGAGTCTGTGCCCTCAAGGGTGACTGACCCCACCAGCTCCACCTGTATAATTCATCCCATGACCCCCTACCAGGCTGGGCCACAGATGGCTGGCTGGGGATCGTTCACTGAGCAAGGCCTGGGTATGTGTTCTCACAGCAGAGTCACACAGCGAGACTCCCACGGCCCAGGTTCCAGTCCCAGCCCCGTCAGACACCAGCCGCAGCCCTGGGGCATCTCTGGGAGGCTGAAACAGCCACAGCCTCGGATGCCTAGGGGAGGACCACACTCTGTCTCGGATGCACAGGTCCTTGCTCCAACAGGTGTACCGCCATCCACACCTGTGTGGCTTCCAGCTCCCTCACCAGCCAGGGTACCCCCGGGGGTCTCCTGAGTCTCTATGGCTCCACCCTCCCCCCAGGTCTGGGGCAGTGAGTGATCAAAGCCGTAGCTCCATCTGCTGGGCAGAATTCTAGAAGGTTCTCCCAGGTGGCTCTAGGTCTCCTGACCTACGATGGCACCTCCCCTGGCTGAGGCCTTACTCATTGGACGTCAGTGGGCCTTCTCTAAGCTGCTTATGCAACTGGGATCTCACAAGCTTACAGGCAGCCATCTAGATGCGAAAATGGGTTTCTCCTCATCCAGAGCAAAGAAGAATGAAGAAAACCAAAGATTCATGGAAACAATTAGTTCTCGTGACTGGTACACCATGCAACCCTCAGCCTATATGAGTATGAGACCAGAAGAACTAGATGGTGCCCGGCGACCACTGTTAACCACTCAGACAAGGATCTATGTAGGAGATCCTGGATAGAGAGGGAGAACAATGTAGAACAAAACTCAAAATCATTTGGAGAAAAAAAAAAAAAAAGGGGTGGGGGAACAGGTTTGCTGGTCTGATAGAGCCTGGTGGAACTGAGACTACGGTCCCTAGCTGCCCTTTAGGTCTGGAACTGAACCCACACCTGTGGTTTCCAGCCAAGCAAAAGATAGGCATATGAGGTGAATATTTACCTGAGGTAGGTATGCTCCTTGGAGAGAACAATCATGGGAGAAAGAAGGGTTGCGTATGCACAGGGAGACAGCTCAGGGGGCAGAAGTGCATGGAGGGATGGACACAGGGAAGAGGTAACCATCGGGAGGAAGTAGGAGGGGAGCTGTTGTATTGTGGGAAATTGTAGTCAATGTCATGAGACAATGTGTGTGTGAACTGCTGCATGGAAAATGAATTTGCTCTGTAAACTTTCACCCAAATCACAATTTAAAACAAACAAACAAATAAAAATATGCATATGAGCTGCTTATGGGAACCCCCACTGTGCTGGACACTGGGGGTATCTGGTGAGCAAGGTGGCAGGAGGCTGAGACCTCCCCCAGGGAATCACAGTCGGGCTCCCCGTGTATGCACTAAGGCCCCAGGGCCACACTCCAGGGCTTGGGAGCCCTGAGGGGCAGAGACCTATGGGGGTGCAGGTTTTAAGGAGCAGGGTTCAGATGGGCTTGGGGAGAGGACAGGTGAGGGGGGAGCCTGGGAGCCAGCGGGCGGGCTGGACATGAGGTCTCCGTTCCCGTCCAGACCACTGTCTACTTCTCAGCAGCCAGCGTCCGCTTGCCTGGCATTGAGCAAAACCCTGCCCCTCTGCCCACCCCCGTGAGACCAGTGAGCAAAGGAAGTCCAGGCTGGTCCCACACCAAGGCCTGGCCCCAGCTCGGCTGTATGGGCCCAGCAGCCTCAGGCCAGCATCCCCTACGTGGGACCTCAGTGTCCCCATCTGCCCTGTCTCAGAGGGGACCCAGTGAGAAGCCGTACAGCCCCGAGACGGAATGCAAACACACTGCCCTCTCCCCAAGCCACACCCTCGGTTTTGACCACAGCCCCCAGGGACCTCGGTGACTGGCTGATGGCGGCCCAGGATGGGGAGGGGGCCCAGCATCCCAGAGAAAAGCATTCACGCAGAGTGACTCCAGTGCCCTGCCTGGCGTGATGGCGGGTGACGGCATTCCAGGAGCTAACGAGCCCCTGAGTCACGTTAGAGACTAAGCCAGGGCCACGCCCGCTGGCCTGTCAGCAGAGCCCCTGGGTCCCCCAATCAGAGGGCTCGTGGGGGCTGTCACATCCCAGCAGGGTCCCCAGTGAGAGCCTCCATGTGTGTGGCCTCTACAAGCCTGATTTCTGTAACGGGCATCGTCACCAGTCTGTGGGCCGAGGGAGGACCAGGCAAAGAGAACATGGTCACCTACTGGGCCAGGGGGTGCCCTGGCATTGGGGCGGCTCCCACCCGACCAGCCCTGGTGGGGCTCTGGCTGGAGGTGGGGGTGTGGAGGCCAGAAGCAAGGGGGACAAAGGCATGCCCAGAGATGACATAGCCTAAGAGAGACCCACGTGGGGGTATCCAGGGCTCTCGCGGTCACCTTCTGTGTGGACAGTGGTCACCCATCCCTCGGTACAATGGGGCGGGGGAGTGGAAACCTGGTTACGGATGCAGATAAGCTGTGGCGAGCGGCTGGCTCCTGAAGCAGGTGTGATGAGCACAGGTGTGGTGGGAGGGACCAGGGCGTGGGAGCGGGGCCCTGTGTGGAGGAAGGCAACTTCCAAAAGAGGGGAACAGCCTGAGCAAAGGCAGGCAGCTTGGTTCTCTCAGGGCTCCTGCGGGGAGCCCCCTGCTTGTGCAGACGTGTCAGATCTGTGACGCCAGCCCC